AAACTCTGGTCTATAATGAAAAATAATGGATATACTCAAAAGTTGGTAGAAGCAATAAAGAGCTTGTATAAAGATTCTACTATTTTTATAAAAGTAGGAAGAAATGAAACTGATAAAATATTGATAAACAGAGGAGTATGGGAAGGCTGCCCAGTATCACCAACACTTTTTAATATTTATATTGATGACATTATTCAAAATTGGAAGATAATAATTTACAAAAGGTATTAAGGTATCAAAAGAAATATTTTAAATATCTTACTCTACACAGACGATGCACTGATATTCCAGGAAACAGAAGATTTACAATATGCATTATTCCACTTAAATCATTTATGTAAAAAATACAATGATGAAATATTGAAAGAAAAAACGAAGGTGAAGGCATTTTGGGGAAAACATTTAATAAGATCAAAAATTATTTTGGACAAAAAATCTTAGAGCAAATTTCGAATTTCAATTACTTAGGTTGTCAAGTCTATCAAGATTCCAATAAAGATATCAACATGAAATTGGCAAAGTTTCAAATGATTTGTGGTACTATGCATTACACACTAAAAAACAAGACAACACACAAGAATAAAGTTTTATAAGACCAACTTCTATACATATTCTATACAACTTCTATACTTCTATACTTCTATACTATCTTCCAACTCTTCTATACGGAAGCGAAAGCTGGGTACCAACAAAAAAAATTTTAAGCAGAATCCAGACCGCTGAAATGAAGTTTTTGAGGAGAACGCTAGGTTGCACAAAAGAAGATCATATTCGTAATGAAAAGAGAAGAGAAAAATTAAATACTGAAGAAATTGGAAGCAAAATAAATAAATAACGAGATAATTGGTATCAACACACGCAAAGGATGGATGACTCAAGACTACCTAAATTAGCTTTATTCTACCAACTGATTGGAAGGAGAGACATGGGAAGACCCAAAAACACGAAGGAAGGAAAACTTCTGAAGTCGAAGAATTATTACAAAGATCTTTTAAGAAAAATCAAAGAACATAACAGTTTTTAGTGTACACACTCAGCTCTAGACATAGTGACCCCTCAGTCTATAGTCTCATTTAACTTACCAATTAACATTACAAATAAGCATAAGAAGAGTCAGTTATAGTTAACCTAAACCTTGGCTATAGTGAACGTAGCAAGTACAATAGCCTGGAAATTCATTTCCTCCTCGAAATGAATATATTGCCTCAGTGCTGCAAATTCCAACACTAGGCAACTTGAAAAAAATATTGGTCAAAGTTAACAATAGAAGTCTTCCCCGAGGTGAAGGTAGTGGACCTGGAATGGGGACTTTACTGATCACCTTATGCCACACAGTTTCACTGTAAAAACAAAGGCCACATCCTATGGAGGCTACAACTGGCATTGGCGACGTGTGATTGCTTGCTTCAGTTTCAAGCTTGTTACTTTGTATTCCTCAAGACAAAAATGTTCAGTTCTATGCTAGTGACAGAAAGCATGCAACTGCCGCAGCCTGGCAATATCCCCATGCCATGTGGAAAAGCAATCAGTTTTATTAGCGCCTTATGCCATCTCGTTGCCAAAAGCATCTGTATGTTATTATGTAAGTAAAAGGGCCTTTGGAGAGTAGGATGGTGTTCCAACAGTGCAAGAGGCATTCAAGGGTGTCAAGATTGCATTACAATACTTAAGACACTGAAGACAATGCAAAATCAAGTATGGAGAGAACACTAACTTTGGAGAAGGATCTAGAGAAATAACAAATGAGAAATGTATGAAGCAAACACTTAAAATTATTGAAGATAATGGTATTTCCAGTTCATACTCTTAGAGCATTTCACTGTATCTCTATATTAACCTTTAACTAACTATATACTACTGAACCTCTGAAATAGGGAATCCAAAATACTTCCAGAAGTTCACTATAATTGGAGTAAACTGTATTTAATAAAAGAATAATAATTTTGGTTTTACTCTCACTATTTAAAGGTATTTAACAGTTCCAGTATCGATTTCAATTTAAAGCATTGATGTTTGCTAATAATTTACAGACGTCAGATAGTAGAAAATTAGAGTTGTCTTCTGCACACCTACCACTACAAACTTATCCTGTGTGGAGATTAACAACACAAGTCTTTAATTAATATTGTACTTCAAATAAAAATTTGATGAGATTCCATAATATATTAGCAAGGAAGTAATGAGTACCTGTCTTTTTATCTTTGACTGTTGTTTGAGCAAAAACTGTCATAATTTCAGCAAGACCACCATTACTAATCCATATCTTACTCCCATTCAAAATGTAGTGTTTTCCATCAGGAGAAAGTACTGCCCGAGACCTGTAGATGAAAGGGACTCATTTAAAACAATATTAAAGTATAGTAGGGATCAAAGTTGGATAAGGGAAAATCGTTTAAGAAAAGCAGTACCTTTTATAGTATTAATTGGAGATAGTAACTTCTGTACTAACATTTCTGCTCAGTAATCCATCATGGGCTGAATTATTAATTAACCATTTCACTACTTGTAAGACCAAATTTGCAAGATCAAAGAATATTTCTCAAGTACCCCGGAGGTACTCAGGCATTAAAAACCTCAAATTTTATGCACCTAAAATAGGCCTTCATGACAATGTACCCAAGAAAGTAACAATAGCTCTTTGAAATTGAAAGCTCATGACTAAGAGGGCGGATTTTAATTTCCCCAATAACATTGCCAAAAATGATTGATAAAATGCTCTTAAAAAGCTTTAAAAATTCCCTAAAAACAAATAAAAATTATGTAAAAAGAATTGATCAATCAGATGAACAACTCAAGCTGTAGGACATGTTAGTGGCTTTTGTAACATGTAATCAAGGCTTCTTCCTTTAGGTCAAGTGAACTCTGCTTGCAAACTTTGGGTTTGGACTGTTCTGTAAAACAAAATCTCTGACTTTATTTATTGCAAAATTGACCGAGCTCACAATGATCCCAAGAAACATTACAGAAACCTTAATTACATAGTACAAAAAAATGACATAAAAATTTTAAAAATGACCTTAGTTAAAATCGAAAAAATTCCAAAAAAAAATTTATGTATAAAAATTGGTAATTTCGTTTCATCATAACATAAAATGAATTTCTATACTAAATGGCATTGTTCTAAAGTGAAAAGAAAAAAAATTATGTTTCATTAAAGTCCGCCTATTACTCATGACATATTACATTCTTCTAAATAAAACGCCTCTTACTCATGACATATTACATTCTTCTAAATAAAAGACTATTTGCCAAAAACGTAAAGCCTATGTATATATGAAAATAAACTCTTGTAAATCAGATCTCACATTTTTATTTTTCACTTTATACCAAGAGCTAATTCCCCAGACAACTGAATGGCTGCTGTCCATAAATAAAACAAATTCTTTCACAGACATGACCAAATTGTCAAAACTTAAAACAAACATCAACAGTATGAGTTTTAAACACATTTTACCACCTTCAATTATGTATTTTACTAGTTTATCTTGGAGTTTAGTTGTGTTTCCTATAAGTTTCACCACATCTATTAAACACATTTACTTGCAGTTAAACACCTGAGATTGACTTATTAAGGGCAGGTAATTGCGACATCCTCATTTCGACACATTGTAGACTAGTTTTATTACAATAAAAAGTTTAAAGACTTTCTAATGCAAACTGCTGAATGATCTTGTCTTCCTAAGCAAAAACACAATTTTTTAGCATTCCTGGGTCTAGATCTGATCAGTGGACCTGGTCGATTTAATGAATAAGTAGGTCCATGGTGTTTGAGATTATTTAAATGTATTATAATAGCTGCAGTTTCATTCTTCTTGATCAATAGAATAGTGTGTTACTTATTTCTTTGCCCACATTCCTGAAAATGTATTTCCATCAAATAAAACTATCATCGTATAGTACATAAAATCAAAACACCATGTTTTAAAACAAGTCATTTTTAATTACACAAATATTGCGAACAATTACACAAAATGACAATCAAGTGTTTAAAAAAAAAAAAATTATTATGAATGGATCATACTTTACACATGACAACAAATAATGGAGCTAAATTCATATGCTGATTGATATCCAGAAGTAATTTGGGGCTCTTCAACAAAGGTACCTCACAACCCCCTTATCCTGCCTACATTTAGAAGTGATCAAAAGAAGAGAAAATTGGCCAAGGACGTACTATTTAGAAAAAATATACTTCTGGTAACTTTCTATTCTTAATGTGGAAAAACAACACTCAGAAATGTTTTAAAAAAATCTATGGGGTGATTATTACAGAGAATGTTACCAACTCTTTGTCTGTACAACTAATAAATATTTTTTTACTGTGTTCATCTAGACATACACATCAGAGACATAGGAATGAAAAGCATAATTCCAAATCTAAAATAATTAAAAATAAACAAAGAAAACTGAGAAAAATATACAAGAACGTTATTGAAATGTACCAACATACATACAAAAAAATTGCATGCAAATCATGTACATATATAAATAGCAATATGTACAAGAATTAAACATAGGAATATTAGATTCTTAAGTGAAAAGATTGCATAAAATATAAACTAATACAACAGTTGTTCCTAATCATATACTTACTATTAATTAAATCGCTGGTGAGGTAGTTACTTTTTAATAATTAAATACGGTAAATAAAAAATGTATCCACTATCACAATATATTATGCTAAAGATCTAATCGATTATATAGCGCTCATCCTCAGAGCTAAAAATGTAATTACAGAAATAAGATTACATGAATACATGAACTATAAAAATAGTTCATGTATCTATTACTATATTTTATCTTTCATTGTAATTGGGGTTTTCACCTTTACAATTGTCTCATGTTTTCTTTTACATAGTACATGCTTGGCCAGTTTCCTTTTCTTTTCAACACTCAGCTAATGATAAATATGGTGAGGAGTTATATGATGCCATGTCAATGGGTACCTGACAACATCTGTTTACCAAGCTTCAGGTGTATTTACCTCCATTATATGTTGTTGTAAGGTATTCTCAATTTAGTTTTTAAAATTGTGAATCTTATTTTTGTTTGCTTGAAATGTGTAGTATTTGTAAGTAAAATTGTTTTTATGTACATTGTTCATCAACACAAGGTTTTTTGATCTCTAAATGTACTATATCTCTCAAACAAGTTTACAAAAACGTAAGGAAACAAATAATTCGAATCAAGTCTCGTGAAGAAGCTGCTTCCATTATTACATTTATGGTCATAAGAATTATTTGTGTTTAAAAAGACACTTGAATTTTATTATTTATTTCTTTTTTAAATTCAAAATAATATGTTTTACAAATAATTTTATAGATAGTTCATGGAAAACTGAAATAGAATATTTCACTTGTTGGAAATGAAAATAGGAATTAACACTGGTCAGCAGCATTTTTGTAACAAAGAAAGTGAATGGTGCTCTTAACTAAAACTTGAGTACTGAATTAAAATATCGCACCTCCAATAGAAAAGTAACAAGTGCGAATTTCTGATTTCTCAGAAATTGCAATGTTCAGTTTCATAATTCTGTAATACTCGTTGCAGATTGTACCAAATATTCACCTTCTAGCAGACACTAATTGAACTAATTCAAAATCAAATGTCAATAGTAGCAGTACCTCTTGGTAACCTCTTATCAGCTTTTAGCTAAAAAATGACAATTTCGCACTTGTGTCACTTTTCTATTGGAGGTGTGATATGAAATAGGTTTTCTTGTTACATGCTACTCTATATTTATTGAAATGTTTGAAAACACTGTATATTGGTTGTTTTGCAGTAGCTTCATTTAACAATTTTGGGCATGTAATTGTTCAGGAACAATGGAAAATATGTACGAGGAATTCCTATGGATGGGACACTGAATTCAGAAAATTCACCTTTAGAAAACGAAAAAGGTTAGGAAACATTGAGAATCGTGTTTTGTTTTTTGCCAGTTGCGTCCCATCATTGAGAGATCTGACAGCTTGGGAAGTGGCTTGGATGTGACAGCTTGTTGTTCTAGGTTCGTGAAGATTTGTGCTTTGCATTAATTCAGAAGAAGAAATGCCTCGTAACTAGCCCAAATATATATAATCTAAATAGCCCAAATATGTTATGTTATAACTGTGGAGATTGGACTGAAATCATAAAATAAAACCTTAATCCTCTGAGGAGGACGTATGATGAACTTTATTTTGGGTGTAAAGTAGGTGAACAGAAAAAAAAAATGGGCCTCCTATAACTGCTGTGTGTTACACTCCTGACACGCAGGGTAAAAGATCCACTTTGCTGTTCCCACGATTTGGAGAGAACCAACAGATCATCTAACATACTCTTATTTGTTGAACATAAATAGCTGGAGTCACTTCAAAAATGAAGAAAACAGTGCAATATCCTAAGTTACAATCTGCTATAATGCCTGTATTTCATACTAAAATGCCAGTGAATTGTCAGTACCACTACTCCTTACATGTGGCTGTGAAAGAAGATGAATGCTACCGTGACAAACATTCAGAAAACAGGAGATATCCGTGTAGACCCAACATTTCAAGGCTTGTGAAACTTTCCAAGCCTCTCCATCACCCCCCACCCCTTTTTTTTAAGACCATTGTAATTAATTTTTGTTTAAAGTATTAATGTATTTAGAGAATTTTTAAATTAGCACATGCAATAATATTTTTCTTTTATAAATTAGACATAATTTAACAAAAAATAATTAATTTGTTATTACATTACAATATTTTATTTCTGCAAGCTGCAGCTGAGAGAACCGAGGAGGTCAAAATATATCATTTCTAATATGTAGTCTGTAGGGACTTTGTGGTTTCTAGCCTCATTGCTCACAATTATGCACTTGCAAGGAGTGCAGGTAGAACATTTTAGGCCCACAATGCTCCACGAGTAATACCAACCTCAGGATTTTATCATCAAAACTAAGTTAACTTCATCAAGTTTATATATTCCATAGTGAAACAGATTAACAAGTAACCAAGATTAAAATGCGAGTTTAATTGTAATCCTGATTACTTAAACGCAATTAGCAAGATACTTGCATGAGTTGGTTGAAACCGGCCCTTAGTGTTTTTTCAGAAAAGGGACCTTTTAACTCATTTCAAGAAAAATATCAGATTACCCTGAAATTCAGTTAACAGAGGAAGATTATAAGAGTTAAAAAGGTTGGATGTTAACAGTTACATTTACATTTTTTTACTAGACTTAAGTTCCTTTTTTTTCTTTTCTAAAAGTAAAGGAGACACATTTTTTTTTTAAAAAAATTGAAATATGTAAAATAATATCTTTTTAGTTAAACACATCACAAACAGTTCCAATCAATGGAGAGAGGGGAACAAAAGGATTATTATTTTCTGAGAAATCGAGAATATAAATGCAGGTTTTTGAAAAGGTTTTCATTCTACCACTAACTAGAACTCTCACTGGCATCTGCTCCTCTTTAATCAATGTAATTGTAACTTGTAACTTTTTCATGAATTAAGCTTCACAATTTCATTACTACTATATATGCTTTTGAGAAACCATACCTAATGGATCCAGCATCACTACCCGAGGATGGTTCTGTCAGACAAAAAGCAGCGTATTCCCTTCCGGTAGAAACTCGAGGAAGGTACTTTTTTTTTTGTTCTGGAGTTCCAAAAAGTAAAATACCCTAAAAATAACAAAATAGAGTTAAAAAAGATTTAAAAAAAAACAAAAAACACAATTCATCTAATAAAAAAATGCCATTAAGACAACTATGAGGTTGCAATGAATATCTCAACCCCAGTAGAATTCTGCCTTGTCATATAGATAACCAATTCTCTAAAAGTTAACAAAAATATATTGATACTCTTGCACACTCCATTTCAAAGGTCTGTTATTTGTTTCCAATTTCCACAAATATCACAACATTATTGAAAATGATTTCTACATTGCAGTGGTGAACACACTCAATTTTCAAGACACACAAGTGTTTACAACCTAATTACATTTCCTTTGCGCTAACAAAAAACTAAAATGAAATATCAATATTTAGTTAAATGTAAACATTACGTCCATTACTTTTACATTTATATTGAAGCATTACCTGTGAACATGAACCAACTCCGTTTAATTTTCAAAAAAATTAAATAAATAATAATTGGATTATCACTATCACTATTATCATTATCGCTATTACTATTATTATCACTATCACTATTACTATTATCATTATTATCATTATCACTTATCATTATTATCATTATTATTATCATCATTATTATCATCATTATTATTACTTTTATCATTATTATTATTACTGTTGTTAATATGTTAATAATATTGTAATAAAAGTTTCTCATTGTAAATTTCATGAAAACTCGTTTATGTGTGTGAACATTAAGAGCACGGCATAGAATTTACGAATCAATTTATCAAGTATTATTTTGAAGCAGTTCAATTGACTGCACCTCCAATTCGCACTAGCGCAATAGCTTTAATTTATTAACCACTTTAAAATTAAATACAACACTGTTACCATCTAATCACAGAAGATATGATTCACCCAGAACTAATTGGCAGGTGCTTGGGTAAAAGGAAATAAGTCAAGTTTTTGTCCAAAGCAAGTAAGCTTGAACACTGCATTACTACAATACTATCAATGTGTATAGTGGCATTTCAATTTTGCCATTAAACTTTATTGACAAAATTGAAATGCCTCCTCCCCATATTCACAATGATAGTATTGTAGTAAAGCAACTTTCTGACATACTCATTTTGGATAAAAACTTTATTTATCGCCTTTTACAAGTGCACCTGTCGATTATTCATTGTCTAGTCTGTTTTCATAGCTAGTGTTATTTCATAGCTTGATCGGCCTCATATAACCTAGTGTTTGTTTATTACAAATTTAGCATCCAGATACTACCACTCCATCATTAATTACAACCCAACTCTTTGTACAAAATTCACATAATTCTTTAATAGAATTTTGATGGAAATGTATACTCAAGTGTATTTGCTCACCATACCTTAAAACCAATAGACTGATGTGCACCAAGAGTTATGCCAACACCCAAATCATGTGCACCCACTATTTCCACTAAACGAGCATATTGTGTATTATTCAGCCCCAAACCTCCAAGATCTTGTGGCACTTGAAGAGAAAATGCACCCAGCTCCCAAAGACCATCCAAAGACTTTTCTTCTACAGATTCTAATGCATCATTTTTTGCAGGATCATTGACTTCCTGAAAACATTATTCAATTATTATTCATTCAAACAAATTCTTGTAATGTCTCAATTAACGCTTTGTTAATGATGGTTACCTCAAAGAACTTAGTTGTGGGATCAACAAGCATTGTTAAAGTTTCTTTCTGCTCTTCAGTTAACACATCAGGATATGGAAAAACTTGGCTTGTTTCTGCAACTCCTCGAAATAAATTCATTGTAAAAGACATATTTTCTCTACAGGCTGGATTTGTTTCGTCTCCTTTAACGGCAGCATTCGCTGCCGTGGCGAGACATCTATGCCAAAAAATAATTCACAAGTATTAAACATAAGAAAGAATTCAAAATTTCATATAATTTCACACACATACCTTGCATGAACATCACCATATTTTACCAATGCCTCTGAAAGCGCAAGGAGTCTGTTTAATCTCAACATAGTTTTTCGGTCCTCTTAATTGTGACTTAAAGAAATCGGAAGAAACTATCACAGTAGCGGTAAATGTATCAACTGCTCCCGAAACCGAATGAACCGAATTAGGCCACCTTTGAACTACTCCAGGACTCGCCGAACTAGCAAAAGCCAAAGTACACGTCCAATTGGACGCGTGTTGCTTAACGTAGTTCTTGAACGTCATCCAGTCCCACTTATTTTAAACCTATGATTATGCAACTACATAAAGGAACGAAGCAATAGGCCACTGGAGTATTATAAAATTCGCGAGTATACTGTGCCACTGTTAATAATATTAATATTAATATTCATAAATATTAATATACTAATACTACTATACCTACATAGACGCCGATATAACGTACATTGATAGAAACATCAGCAGGTTTTCCTCATCGATATATCAATACCCACAACTTATCGGGAAAATATCAAGAGTAGATCCAGAAGTATACCGATCTCGCCCATGAAGTCACAACTTAGTGGAATTTCAGTAAAGTGACAACTGTACCTTAATAATATTAGCTACAGGAGTGATCCGAAAATGACACTTCGGGCACTGGAGTGTCTTCATTGGTACCAGGATTTTATATAATATGCAAAAGTGCGTACGATGTCCTGTGACTTGGGTGAAGAACTACTTGCCGCGAAAGACTATTTGTAGCTGATATTAGGCAGTATCCGTATACAATATCCCGCCTTCCGATCAGGTATTGTTCATCAGCCTCGGCCAAGAAGCATTCAATGCGACTCGTGCGGTAGGCGCCTGTGTTGATCCGTATACCGGCATTGTGTATGGTATTCAATAATGTATTCGATGGAGACGCTGACCAATAAACAATACACCCATAATCTAAGATAGGACGGATGATTGTCCCATATAGGCAGAAAAGACCTACTCTGCGCCCCACATCCTACCAGTAAGGGCGCAAAGTAGGTTCAATGGAGATACCCAGCGTCTCTTCAAATTTTGAATGTGATGTTGCCATGATAAATTCTTGTCGAATGTCAGGCCAAGAAAGTAGCAGATTCGACGAAGGGAAGTTGATGAACACAAAAAAAAATCTACAGAAGTGCATGCAACTGGATTTTGAGGTGGAGAACTTGTATCCAGTTTTATCGCTCCATTCTTGCAATTTGTTGAAGACAAGCTGTAAGTGCTCTTCGAGGAGCAGAATATTCCAAAGTCGTCAACGAAGAGCGATGCTTTCACTGGCTCTCGAGTTACTGATGCGATACTATTGATAGCAACTGCAAACAGTGACGATCAGAATTCATCCTTGGGGTTTTCTAACTGGCAACTTGAGGATAACGTGTCACCAAGGCGGACGCAGAAAGATCTTGACGAAAGAAAATCTACTAGATAAGAAGAGAGCCGTCCCCCAAGACCCCAAGAATGCAAGGTGTGAAGAATGGCGTACCTCCAGGTTGTGTCATAGGCTTTCTCTATGTAGAAACAAATTGCTACCAGTTGTCATAGCACGAAAGAAGAGGAGATCTGTGTGACCTGGGAGACTGAGTGGTACATGATTTCCTGAAAACACAATGAAAAGGAGCAAATACATTCCTTTGATCCAATAGCCACACTAGATGTGAGTTGCTCTAAAAGCTTGCACATAATGAGAGAGTTTGGGCGGTGACTTGAAGAAATTATTCTGTCCTTTCCTTCTTTAGGTATTGGAATAACAATGGATTAACGCCAAATCCTTAGTAGAGAATGTTCATCCTAAATCAGGTTGGAAATGCGAAGGAGAAAACAAGGTCTGGTCCTGGAACCTTTTGCCACCGAAGCCAAGCCACGGAACAGGAAAATTCATCCATGGAGAACGGAGCACTGTAATCTTTCTCCATGCGACTCGACAGTGATGAAAAATAAGCTCTCCGGGATACGGCCTTACTTTCTCGTATGGTCAATCTAGCTCTTACTCGGGATCTTTATTAACTTATCAAATTATACATGATTGGAAACCTACTAAGCTTTGCCAATGCCCGTTTCCAATCACGCCGCGGTGGCATAGTCGACATTCCACCATTGCACAGGAGGATGCGACCCGATGACTTCGGGATGGCAACTGAACCGCATGAAGGAAGGCATCAGTAAAATGGGCAACCATAGCATCGATATCGTTTGGGAATGATACCATAGAATGATATGCGACCATACAATCGATATCGTTTGGAATTCCGTATTTCTTTCTCGAATGTTTACCACTCACCTCGCTGGGTTAACCAGTGAGGAGGACGGGCAACGTTTAGGTCGGGAATATCAAAATTGACAGAATGAGGAAGTGATCACTGAAATGCAGGTTGCCAAGGACAGTCCACTCAAAGATGGTAGAGATGGAGAAAAGGACTGCAGAGAGCGAGATAAACGGATAAGAAAGTGCTTGAAGTGACGGAAAACTGTGATTTCGCCAGTATTCAAAAGAATTATATTCTAATTGGCAATAATATTTTTAAGTATATTGCGACTCGGGCAGGTCCTTGTACTGCCCAGGCGGGGTTGTGGGCATTAAAGTCTCTCACAATAATATTTATCATTTAACTTTTGTAACAGTTTGATGATTTAATTATATGTATTAACTACATTGCTTCTATTCATTTCTGAGTATTGTGACAAATTCCCAATTAATTAGATTTTCAGCTACAAACAAGTTCCACAAGTTTCTAAATTGTGGTAGTCCTTCGTTGGCTAATAAATCAGAGTAATGGAAGGATGACGTAGTATGGTATGTATCAGATCCCATCTGTCACTTCAGAGTCCACAGTGAATACCACCTCCGCCAAGAGCCATTGTAGGGAATTAATTCTTTGGCTTTTTCTTACTCACCTGAAAAGTTATAGACGAACTCTCGTGGTGCTCCTCCTCAATAGCAGAGGCCTGGCTGCTGCTGGAGATGGTCGCCTGTGCCGGGGGAATTTCCTGCTTTTTGCCGCAGACGACTGAGATCTGCAAAGGCCGGAGGATCGCTCAATGCCATTGTCGGAATTAGTAAGGGGACGTGACTTCGATATAAAATTTTCATTCAAAAGTGATATTTGACTGGAATCTATTTCCTTAAGGAAGTTGGTGGAACTGATCTGTGGCTGGAGGAGGTTTTAATTAGGTTTTAAAAACTTTGTTTGTATTATTACCTTTCCACCTTGAATGTATGCCGTATCTTTAAGGAAGTCTAAAGGCGACACCTGACAATTGAAGTGCGCTACTAGAGCAGGAGCACGTTGTGTCTGACAACTTGCTGTTATCTTGAGGACTTGGTCTTTAAAGTATTGGAGAAGGATCGTGTCAGGTCTACTGGATTTCTAGTCTTGTGCCGACGTTTCGCATCAGGGAAGGAAATCTTGGTATTTTCTGAATATCTCTTTCCCGGTAGTGAAACTTGTAGTTGGCTGGATGACCACCTTCATAACTGACAAAGCGTGGTGTTGTAGCGCACGGATGTGGATCGTGCAATGATGCACCGCACTTCCCCCTCACCCGCTTACCGACATTGCTGGTTATGCCAAAACCATTGGCACTTAAAACAGTACAAAGTATTTGGTACATAATGTTGCACATGGACGTTGTAGAGACCACAATTGATCCTTTCCAGGAGGGACGGACGGTCAAAAATAAGGACCAGGGTTGAAGTAGGGAACACTTTCCCCTGCTCTTTTCTTTTGATCCTATACACTTTAATCACGCCCAGACGCTTGAAAAATGTTATTAGTTCTTAATTTTTGGAAGCAAAGTCTTCGTACAGGTTCAAAGTTGGGTGCGACGTCACTACCACCTGGAGGCCGACAGTCTGCTCGGTTTTCAATAAATGATCAATTTGCTCGTCGGCACGTGTTTCTAAAAGAATCCTTCCATTCTTCTGTCGCACGAGCACTTGAAGCTTCCCGTACGCTTCCTCTGTGTCCCGTGCCAGATGGACAGAACTTACGTTTTTAGACTTTTTTCTTCTAAGACGCATGTCATGAGGAGGAATCGAGGCTTTTGCGAGCTGTCATCTTTTTCAAACATAAACTATTTAAATCTATAGTTCGTTCCAAATATCACCTCTTCCTTGCGAAGAGGGAGGGGGAGAAGGTTTAGTATCCATGGAGTTAGATATAAGATTCATCCCCGTGGTCCCACCCACCACGGAGCCCAACAAAGAGGCATTCCATAGGAGTGCCAGGGTTGCCACGGAAATATATTGAGGGATGACACAGTGCTGTCCCACCATGGATCCCCCCGGTCGCCATGGAGTTCAGTGTAATACCTAGTCCCAGCCCATTGATCGGGAGTAGGTGATCTCCCGACTGCCCGTCTAGCACAGCCCGAGGTTTGGCCCAAAGTTTGGCAAGTGAATTGGAAACCTACAAAGAGTGTTCCACAAAATACGTAAACAACGTCTCCCTGCTTCCAAAGCAGAAAGTAGCACAAGGAGTAGTTGAGAAACTAACAGATCCCTTAACTGCCATGATACACATTCCCTCCGACGCGATCGGCATGCACAGCAAACACATGGGTGGACGTTCAGCATATGGGAAGGAGTGAAATAGAAGGGGTAGAAGAAGAAGAAACAGGATGTTATCGAAGAACGGGAATGAACGATGGGGAAGATAAAGTTGACTGGTGAAAGAAGGGAATACTTGAGAGAAGTCCCTGCACCCCCCTGTGAGGACGTGCACCGCCCCACCTCGACGAGTTCAGTTTGGGAAAAACATTCTAAGTATAGTTTATGCACTCATGTTGTTCAAAGTCGACAAACGAGCGGATGAACGTTTTGAAACTAGTGTGGTTTGAAACACTGTGACACTGAATGGCACAGACGTTTGGTACTAGTTAATTTTCTAATTTATTTTGGTCTGAGCTAGCTTTTCAATATTGCCCTATCCTCTTACCGGCTGCCATCTATCGCCATTAAAAGTATATTGTTTTCACATTTTCGCAATTTCTTGGTTTTCTAATGGCAGAACCAAATATTACTTTAACGCTATTAAAAAAGATTAATATCTCGTTCTAAATGGAGATTTCCGTTGAAATATTTGGTGCTTTTTTTAAGAAAATGTCGTTTAAGCGTCGCTGTAAATCCGAAATTTGAGTACTTTTTTTCGCAGAAAATATTTCAGTTTTCAAGAAATTTCATTGAAAGTCATTTGAAGCACTTCCTCTTTTGTGAGTAATTGCATTTGTGTGCAATAGTGTTTGGGAATCGCCGGAAATGTGCTTATTTACGTCGTGGGATATATTACAAAATTTTACAATGGTGTTTGAAATATTTTGAAAAATGAAAGAATACATCAAAATGAATTTTATTTCATAATTACTAGTACAATTAGTACTATCCGTAC